CTCGGCCGAGACTTCGAACGATGTTTCCAGGAGATGAGAAATCAGGTTGCATCATTCCTGCTTCTCCCTGTACTTCTACAAGCCTGGGTGTACTCTCACTACTAGTAGTATTGCAGATTTCAAAAGAATCAAATTGATCATCTGAAGAGATCTTTATAACCTCAACAGACAATTCTGCCCCAATTCTTGTCCTGAAGCAAGCTTAAGAGAACTTCGGAGGCGTTTTTCATGGTCTCCATTAGGCTGTTCAACAATGTCCTAAGATCCCCATAGTGTTTTTCATTCGTAGGTAAAAAGAACTCCAATACGTAAATGCAATTGTTTGAGCAAACGCTCTGCAAACAAACTGCGAAACAGGCAGAGTACCCAAACAATCGTGCAATGGGTACCAACGGATACTCTGTTATGCTTAATTGTCTTACTCTTATATCCCTGCAAAAGCATGTACTTTTGGATGAGAATGCTCTCCCAACCACCCCTTGTCCCTTCCGAATAAAATCTACGCCAGAATGACAACTTAGTATTTCTCCAGAAGTAGTCCAAGTTTTTATATCACCATAATCCAGTTCACATATTCACTCACCTCGCTCAACGCTTCTTCAATTTTAGCAATTTCTCCATCTTGACTTGTAGATGAATGGCTTAAAAGTATTAGCATGGAATGAATAGCCTAAAGCTTCAGCCAAGATTATGCAGTATAAAAGAAGGAAAAAAACATACTTAAAGAGGTACTCACATGAATTTACTTTCACGAGGAGGCTTATACAAGTGGTTGTCAGATTCACCTCCGATGGTAGATTCTGCAAACACATTATCCATGGGTCATAAATAAATTAAAGTATTATTTACAAGTTTCAAAGAATAAGCAAAATTGCAAGGAAGCAAGCAAGAGCCAATACAAAATGGCCCAATCTCCTGACCAGACCATTTCCCATACAGTCCAGAACATTTTTATTTTTATTTTTTTTTTAATTTTCACGTTGTCCTCCTCCTGCGTTTTTTCCCTTCTTTCTCTTGTATGAACCTTGACCAGACCACCCAAATACTGATTTAACTACTGTTGCGGACCGTGCAGCCCAAAACTTGCCCAATCCTCTATTTCCTATGGACAACTCATGTCCCGGATACCCTTTAACAAATATATGGTTGGCTTCCTTTGCAAATGAAAATTAAGCGTCACGGCCCACAATAAAATTATAAAATAGAAGTCTTAAACTTTGAAGCTGAAATTTTTGAGTTGATGAACTGCTGAAAGTTTTATTTGTATGATAATTAACTTGATTTTTTTTTTTAGTGTAAGCGAGAGATTTCAATCTGAGGTCTCTCATTGACACTCATTTCTTTTAAGTCATCCAATCCATCTCTTCCTGCTCCTCTTCAAATTAACTTGATTTAACTCTAACCCGTGATGGTAACCAGAATCGAACCAATCCAAATAAATTCAAAACTTGATTTAGCCACTGAATTGAAATATCTCAATTTGAAAATGTTGTTGTTGTTGTTGTTATTGTTGTTTATTATTATTATTATTCTAAAATCATTAATACTGTTGTATTTTAAATATTGAGCTAACCTTGTAAACTATATTACCTTGGATAAATATGTAAAGTACAGCATTTTGTGTGTAAAATCAACTAACTTTGGTCATATAGTACAGTAATATGCAACATTAATACGAACAGATTATAATTATTGGTCCCTCATCTTATATTTATAAGAACGAATTGCTTCTTGCCATAACTACTCCCTATGCTACCACTTGGCAGCTACAATGAGAAGGTTGCATTTGTTTTGATGCCTTAACGTAAAATGAAGGATTGTAAGGATATAAGGATGAATTGTTTCTTGGGCTCCAAATTCTCAGCGAGGAAGCCCAGCCTCTTGGCATGGAAAAAAAACAAAAAAAAAATATGTCCAACAATTTTAGCATTGTTTTTTTGCACATCCATGCATTTTTAAATGTAGACTTATTTATAAATAAATAATATTGAAATTTATATTTGAGTTTTGTTTTGAAAGTTGGCATATTTATTATTTTTGTTTCGTCTCTAAAATTCTTGCGTCCCTTGGTATATGTCAATTTTTTTTAAGTGTTGCCTACAACAATTGCTGGCTATTTTTATTGAGGAATAGATTTCACATTTTGGTGAAAAACTTCCCCTGGATAAAGTGGTTGAATAACTAAGAATGATTTGGGCCTAACAAAAGATGTTTACCATGTTGCCTGACAAAAAGTTCCCTAGATGTACATATGTACACAAATGTGCGCATGCTAGCCCACACACGTCTATATATATATATATATATCCTTTAGAGTTTAGATAGCTCCCAACTCTCTATTCCTTTTTTGCTAGATTTTTGAGCTATATACTTTTGTTAATTTTAAGTAATCCCCTCAGAAAAAAAATCTCTCCTCTAGTGAGAGCAACTTTTTCTCTCTAAACTGAGAGCTCTCTCTTCCCGCGTGGAAGTTCAAAATTTCCCAAACTTCAAAAAACCTAATATTCATTGCCTATCTTTGATCATTCTCGATTGCTTCAAACATTGGGTGAAAGTGTGTGCAAATCATAATCATATATCTAATAATGCCTTCCATTACAAGAAATAAAGTTCTCCAGGATGAGATTGACGGAATTAGTTGAGCTCGGAGGGCTTTTTCAGCTCGTTTTAGCTCGGTCTAGATCGTTTGAGTAAGTGTCTTCCATTCCATAGTAGCTGCGGTTACTTCATTTGCTGGAGTTGTAGGTTGAGCTCTCTTCGTCTTTTCTGCGTCTGGTTCTCTTCCGATTGTGTTTGGTGATCGTTCGGTTAGTAGTTTCTTCGGTTTGTTTCTGTGTTGTATTGTGGTTGTGTTTCAGAGTTAACCTTTTGAGTTCGTTTTGTTTGATTTCGTTTGGTTTTGTCGTCTTCGTTTTATTTCTGTTGTGTCTCAGCTCGTTTGTATTCTCTTTGATCTTGCTGAATCTTGCTCTACTGTTGTGTTCGCTTCGAGTGAATTTAGTTCTATCCAGGTCTCTATTGTGCAGGTCTGGATCAGTGGTGGAGTGATTCTGTGGGAACCTGAGTTTCGAGCAAATGGCTGAGGATCTGGAAGAGGTGTTGAGGAAGTTTGTGTTGTCTGAAAAGGAGGTAGGAGGAGTACAAATTGATGGTGAGGACATACTTCAGAGCCTGGATGAATGTAAGCGAAGTATTATTGGGAAGGTTTTTGGGGATAAGGTGGCTCATATAGCTGGAGTTAGAAGTTTTGCTAGTAATATGTGGATTTTTGCGAAAAATCTGAGGGTGGTGGAAATTGGAATTAATAAGTTTCAGTTTATATTCGATAATATGCATGATAGGGAGAAGGTCTTGGGGGGGGAGACCATGGATATATGATAATCAGCCTCTAATATTAGTGCCGTGGAGGGAAGGAATAGAAACTAAGGAGGGAATTTTTACTAAAACATGGATATGGATGCAGATTTGGAATTTACCTATGCATTGGATATCTAAGGAGGCAGGGAAGAAGATTGGGAGTATTTGTGGAGCTGTTAAGGAAATTATAGTACCTACTGGGGGGGGAGAGAAGGTAAACATTTAAAGGTGCTTGTAGAAATTGATCTGACTCAGCCTCTACTAAGGGGAACAACAGTCAAAATGAATGGAGTGGGGAGATGGATTGATTTTAAGTACGAAAAATGCCCAGACTTCTGCTATTGCTGTGGGCGTATGGGGCATAATGAGAGGAATTGTAAGGATAAAGGCTTGTACCTGAACAAGGAGACTCAGTATGGAGTTTGGTTCAAGGCCAGTGGGCCTAAAAGTCCCCATAAGAGACAATCGACTGCAGAACAGACATCAAAAATGAGGGAGGAGAATAGGTCTGGTCAGGATGGAATTAGGGAACAGGAACAGTACCTGTTGACTTGGGGATCAATGGAAGACAGCCATAGGTCAGGAGGGGTGGAGGTGTGGGGTGATGACGCAGTAGGAGTTAAGGATATATCTGGGGACAAGGAGGGAGAAGTGGGGAGACCAGTACAAAAAGAACGAATGGACAAAGGGGTAGGGGCACAAAAGATAGATCAGAACAACAGATAGACAGTGTTGGGACTATAGAGGGGGGTGGGGAGTTTAAGAGGGAGGAAGGGGGACTGAGGTAATTAGGGGCTAACCTGGAGGAGTAGTTATACAGCATGATAATAGTGAGGAGCATGATATAATGTGGATTGATGGATGCTTGAAAACTGAGAAATCACATAAACAGGAAGGACACCAGGGTAGTACTGAGACTGAGGGTAATAATATATGAGTAAGTAGAGGGAAGGAAAATACAGTTGGAAAATATAGAGGGAATAAGGCATGGAAAAAGCTGGTACAGGAGGTAGGGAAGAGAAAGCCACTCACTGATAGCAATGGGATCATCAGAATGGATGTGGATACGGGGAAGAGGAAATATGTGGACAGGGAGGGAGGCTGTAGGGATGATGGTAAGGGTGGAAATAAGAAATGCAGGAAACTGGAATTGGAAGGTAAGGGAAATGAGCTAGTGAAGGTAGGGGAGCCCAACCTAAATGGGGCCCCACAGTGTCCATGAGGGTCCTGGTGTGGAATTGTCGAGGTGCGGGATGACCCTTGATAGTTTCCCAAATAGATGAGGTAAATAGACTCCACTTCCCAGAAATTGTGTTCTTAGCTGAGACGAAAAATAAGAAGTGTTATATGAATAAACTGAAGATGAAACTTCAGTTTGATAACTTGTTTGTAGTGGATCCAGTAGGAAGGTCTGGGGGCCTGGCTGTAATGTGGAAAAAAGATGTTCAGGTCAAAAGAGTTTTATACACAAACTTTACTATAGAATTATGCATTGAGGACTTGAGTAAAAAGATTTCCTGGTGGTTGATTTGCATATATGCCAGTACAGATGATGCTACTAGGGAGCAGCAGTGGCAAATTATTGGGAATAGGAAGGTTTTATGGGGTAATAAATGGTTGATTGCTGGGATATGAACGACATCATGAGTAATGGTGAAAAGTGGGGAGGGATACAGAGGCCTGAAAGGAGCTTTAAGCAGTTTAGAGACTTTATTAGTACAAACGAGCTGATAGATATTGGATTCGAAGGGAAACCTTGGACTTGGAGTAACAATTGGGACAGTGAAGAAGAAGTAAGAGAGAGGTTGGATAGAATGCTTGGTAGTAGGGCGTGGAGGAGGAAGTTTGAGAAAGCAAAATGCTGTCATATACACAATGAGGCTTCTGATCACTGTATGCTCCTACTACATACTGAACCAAAGGAAAGGAAGTGGAAAAGAAGGTTTTGTTTTGATAGGAGGTGGCTGTAGTATCAGGAGGTGAATGGGGTGGTGAAGAGGGCTTGGGGTAAGAAGCAGGTAGGTTCGAGGCTATTTCAGATTAAAAACAGAATAAGGGAGTGTAGGGTGGCTTTGTTGAGCTGGAACAGGAGTTTGAAGATCAATGCTAGGGGGGATATAGATATGATTAAGAAGGAGATTCAAGAGCTGCGTGAGAGTAATGCAAAGGACAGGAAACAAAAGATATGCGAGCTAAAGAAAAAGCTAGCTGATGCATATAAGAAAGAGGAAGTATTCTGGGGACAAAAAGCTAGAATAAATTGGCTGCGAGAAGGAGATAAGAACACTGGTTACTTTCATGCAGTTGTTGCAGGGAGAAGGAAAAGGAATACTATTACAACATTGCAGAATGCTGGGGGGATTGGTGTGAGAATGAGGAGGAAGTGGCGGGGGAGATCACTGGTTACTTTGACAGTCTCTTTACCTCTTCCAATCCTGAGGAATTTGCACCAATCATTCAGTGTATCCCACAGATCATTACTGCTCAAATGAACTCACTACTGACCAGGCCAATAACAGAGATGGAGGTAAAAAAAGCAGTCTTTTCTTTACATCCTAACAAAGCTCCAGGTCCTAATGGTATGAGTCCTATCTTTTTTCAAAAGTTTTGGAATATTGTTAAGCTAAATTTGATTGCTGCTATATCTAGTTTCTTCCATTCTGGCAATCTGCTCAAAGCTATTAATGAAACAAGCATCACTCTGATTCCAAAAACTGATTCTCCTGTCTTAGTCTCTCAGTTCAGGCCTATTAGCTTGTGTAATGTGGTTTATAGAGTCATTTCTAAAATCCTTGTTAACAGGGTCAAACCTTTCTTGAATTGTTGTATTAGTGCTAATCAGTCTGCTTTTATCCCAGGAAGGCATATTACTGATAATATTATGATTGCACATGAATTCATTCACTGTTTGAATAATAGGAGGGGTGGTACGAATGCTTTTATGGCTATTATACTAGATATGGCTAAAACCTATGATAGGGTGGAGTGGAGTTTCCTTGAAAAGATCATGTCTAAAATGGGGTTTTGCTCTACCTGGATCAACTGGATTTTAAAGTGTGTATCATCTGTGACTTATAGTTTCAATATCAGTGGGGAGAAAAGGGGTTTTGTTAGGCCTTCTAGAGGAATTAGGCAAGGGGATCCACTGTCCCCTTATTTGTTCCTATTGGTTTCTGAGGGGCTGTCTAGATTGCTCAACACAGCCATGAGAGAACACAGAATCTCAAGACTAAAAATTGCTGCTGCAAGCCCTGCTCTCTCACACCTTTTGTTTGCAGATGACACTTTAATTTTCTGTAGGGCAACACAGGAGGAAGCAGGTAGAGTGTGGCAGTTGGTGGAGATGTATGGGAAAGCATCCGAACAGTGTATTAATATGGAGAAATCTTCTGTATTGTTTAGTAAGAATACTGAGGAGAGTAGTATTGAGGGGATTTTGCAGGAGCTGGGAGGAATGCAACATGTAAGGCATAGTAGATATTTGGGGCTCCCTATATTAATTGGGAGGTCTAAGGCACAAGTGTTTAACTATATAAGGGACAAGGTAAATAACAGGATAAAGGGATGGAAAGAGAAGCTGCTAAGCCAGGCAGGTAAGGAGGTATTGCTAAAGGCAGTGGCTATAGCAATGCCAAACTATGCTATGAACTGCTGTAGGCTCCCTGTTGGACTATGTAAAGACATCAGCAGGGATATGGCTAAATTCTGGTGGGGGAGTAAGGATGATGAGAAACGAATACACTGGATGGGATGGCAGAAGTTGACTCAGGTCAAGGGGAAGGGTGGGTTGGGGTTTAGGGATTTGAAAGAGTTTAATAAAGCTATGTTAGCAAAACAGTTGTGGAGGGTGATAACCAACCCAAATTTGATGGTAAGTAAGGTACTGAGAGGGAGGTATTTTAAGGGAGAGTCGATATGGAGGATGAAGCCTAGAAATTCTGACTCATGGATGTGGAGGAGTGTGGTTAGTGTGAGGGAGGTGCTGGAAAGAGGGGCTAGGAAACGAATAGGGGATGGAGGTACTGTTAATATATGGAGGGATGCATGGCTTTCAGATGGGGGTCATGGTAAGATAACAACTACAAGGCCCCCAGGGTGTCAAACTCAGATGGTGAAGGAGTTAATACAAAATGGGGAATGGAATCGAGCACTAGTGAAAGGAATTTTCAATGAGGTAGATTGTAAAAGGATCCTGGCTACATCATTGAGCTTATAGGGATGGAAGGATAGACTTATCTGGCCGCACAGTAAGAATGGGGACTGTCAGGATAGGATATATGGTGGCTAAGGAGTTGCAACAAGTAAGGACAGAAGTAGGAGTGCAGCAGGAGAAGAGTAGTAGAAATGAGCAAGGAACTGAGGTGTGGAAATTCCTATGGGATCTTAATATGAAACATAAACTTAAGCATTTTATATGGAAACGACTGCAAAATATTTTGCCAGTTAATGAGGTGATCAAAAGAAGGGTTGGAAGAGGATCTGAGTTGTGTGCTTGCTGTGGGGAACAACCTGAAACTGTGGAACATATGTTTTTCTATTGTAAACACGCAGAGTTGATATGGAAAGCTTCACCAATTCAGTGGGATGGTTTACTGGAGTTCAGGAAAAGTGTTTGGTTATGGTGGAATAGTTTAATGGAGGCAAAGGCAAGGGATGCGGGGAAGGAACACATTTGCCTCACAGTGAATTTACTTTGGCAAATTTGGAAGTCTAGAAATAGAGTTCAGTTTGAGAGAGAGGTTGGGTGTCCAGGAATAGTAGGAATGAAGGCAGTGCAGGAATGGAATGAATATGAGGTAGCCCGGCACAAAGATGAGAGGAAGGTATGGGAGGAAAAGATTAAGCAGAAAGCTCCAACAGAGTGGCTGCCTCCAGTAGAAGGTTTTGTTAAGTTGAATGTGGATGCAGCGCTGAGCACAGTAAAAGGGGTAGTAGGGTGGGGAGTGGTTGCAAGGCAAGAGAATGGAGGAATGCTGAAAGCTTGGGCTGGGAGGGGCGAAAGGTATACTGAAGCTGTGGTGGAGGAAGCAAATGCCATTCTAATAGCACTTGTCAAAGCTGGAAGGATAGGGCGAAGGAAGGTTAGGGTCCAATCTGATTGCAAAGGAGTGGTGGAGAGCATCAGAATAGGCTGCAGACAGGATCCGAAGGTGGGAGCAATTGTAGAAGATATTCTTAGGTTGAAGGACCAGTTTGAGAACTGTTACTTTTCCTTTGTCAAAAGGGAAGGAAACTGTGTGTGTCATTATTTGGCAAAATTTGCCATGCATGTGACAAGTGATATTGAGTGGGAAGAGTTTTTCCCAATTTGGTTAGTAAACCTAGCCAAGAAAGATGTACGAGACATTGCTCACCCTATGTAGTTTGAGTATTAATGAAAGCTGTTACCGGTTTTGAAAAAAAAAAAAAAAAAGTAATCCCCTCAGATCACAAATTCCGAACATCACACACTACAAATATGACTAACACAAAGAAAAAATCCAGGTTGATCCCAAAAAGGTTAGAAAAAATGATTTTTCTCATCATTTAAATATTGCAAAAAGATCGTGATCACCAATCCCAGCTGCAAGAAGTCTCAACAATGCTAGGCAGCTTGTTTTGTTCTCGCCTCATCCTTGCTGGGCTCCGAGGCTTTGAATCTTACTTGCTGGACTGTAAGCCTTTGAATCTTAGTCTAGCCAAGGCAATTCTCTTAGTGCTGGACGTGGTCGAGCTCAGAGCTCTTAGTTTGGCACTTCTAGTGATCAAAATGTAAAAGCAAATCGGCTGATTTGAACTTGCAGTAGCCATCTTAAATATAATTTAAGCCAAGGATTCGATTTAGGGTGATGAAACAAAACAAACAAAAAATTGCTGGAAGTTTTTTTTTTCCCACCTAAAAATAAGTAATGTAAAATTTTTAATTTCAAATGTTTATTTTAATGAAAAAAAGAAACATTTTATTCTACCAATACTCTTTATTCTACAGATATTCTACCGAGCTTAATCGAGTTTTTATATTATATATTTTGAAAAAAAAAATTATAGATTTATTCCAAAACTCGAGCTCGAGTTTGAGTAGATCGGGCTTGATATTTAGTCAAACTTACTCGAGTTCAAACGAATCGAGCTCGAGTTTAATTTTATTTTATCGAGTCAAGCTCGAGTCCAAATTTTTTTACTCGTTCGAACTCGAGTAGCACTGATTATGATTAATCTCGAGCTCGACTCGGCTCAATAGTACCTCCAATCAGGCCCCCACAAGAAATGCTCTTACGAGGAAAAAGTCGATGCTTTTCAAGGCCCCATATGTCACCTGATGTACATGATCAAGAGGAGCAATCTTCATTTACTTTTACCTAGAGTTGTTAAACTTCACGAGTAACTCGAAAGCTCATTAGAGCTCGGCTCGAGAAGGCTCAAGCTCGGCTCGTTTGATATTCGAGTAGCTCATTAGAGCTCGTTAATAAAGGGCATATTTGTCATTTTAAAAGTCAAAAGTATAAAAATTGAAAATTATAAATTTTTATTGAGATTAATTTGCACAAGCTCGACTCGTTTGTGATAAACGAGTCGAGCTTGAGCCACATGTATATTTGACGAGTCGAGTTCGAACACATTTTAAAACTTATTTGCCTAACGAGCTCAAGTCGAGCTCGGCTCGATTAGCAGCTCTACTTTTATCAGGAAGAGTACAACTAGAGAATAACTGAAAGAAAGGCTATCATACATATGTATTTCCGCGTACAGATTTTTCATGTCCTTTTTAAATCACCCATTACCCACGAAAAAAATATCACCAAGGTTTGATCACGTATTGCCCCTTGTAATTGTAATTAGGGATGATTAGCAAATTATCCCCTGCAATCACGAAATGTACAAATTGATCTAGAATGACCAAAAGTCAAATATATATACATATGAGTAGGAAAAGATAATTATGCCCATATATAGGAAAATTGTCTCCTGACCCTTTTTTATGCACTTTTTCTTCTTCTTTCTTTATTTATTTAAGTCTTCCTTTATTTATGTTACAATATATAAGTCTCGATGAAAAAATGTGCCAGTCAATTTCTCTTTGTGATTAAACATTTATTGTTATTTTCTTATAAAATATTTAGCTATCCTAAACCATAGTGAGAAATCAAATACTAATGTACATTTATTAAATATAATTCAAGCACTTGATACTTTTACTAACAATTTATCATTAATCATCAAAATTAGATATTATACATAGGGCATAAATGATTTTATATTCATCTTTCTTTTTTCTTCTTCATTTCTTCTTTATTCTTATTAATAATTTCTTTTGAGGTTCAAATATACATACTTTTATTTTGCCATATAATATATCCAATTATTAATAAAAATTGATGCATAAGAATAAATTAATTTCAATAGAAAATACTTGAAATTTTTAACACATGCTATTTATTATCTTGTGATAAATAATGATTACCAAATATTTTAGTAAGAAAGTTATTTGACCATAAAAGGAATTTTTTTAACAAATAATTGTTGAAGTTGATACGTAGAATTAGGATTAAAAGATGAGGAAAAAAGATGTAAAGATAATAAAGAAAAGGTGAAAAAGAAGAAAGAAAAAAATGAGAAAAGATTATCTGACAATATCCTTATAATGAGGGAATTATTATCTTTTTGCTGGGCACATACACTTGTCTTTACTTATCAGAGAGCAATTGTCTTTACTTATCAGAGAGCAATTTGGAGGCTTTAAGAAAAAGGACCGATAGGAAGAATAAGTGAAATAACATGGAAACAAGCACAAGCTAGAACCTAAATGGTACAAGGAAACAAGCAAAAGCTATAGAACCTAAATGGTACAAGAACAAAAGCCATCACATGGTTCTAATGATTGAAGCTCCCCCCCCCCCTCCCATTGTCTTAAACTAAAAAGATAAAAACTTAAGAATTTTGGTTAAAAATTTTTTGAGTTTTTTCAAAATAAATTTAAGAAAAAAAAAAAAACCCACAATAGAACTCAACAAAACCACATACTTAGGCCTGCTAAAGTCTAGAAGAAGGGTTTTTGAAAATTTTTGAATTGTCACTCCATATTGGGTTTAGATATACCAAATCACTGAAAAGTAACTTTTGATCTTTAAAACATAAATTCATACCCTTTAATTAGCAACTCCGGATCTTTTGAAATCAAAGAAATAAGAAGGTTAAAGTTTTATTCTCAAGCAACACCCCCCCCCCCCAACTCCCACCCAAAAACACCTAACAAAACTGATTGCGAATTTAATTTTATTCTTTCAATTTTAAGACAAAAATGAGTCAATCTATTGTTAAGCACATAACATGTACCCAGTTAACACAAAATACCCGAACAAGTAAAAAAATATGCATAATACATAGAGAGTTAAACAAAAGGAAATGCGCTGTCTTGTTTGGATTGCTGTTTTCCACCGAAAAATGACCTTGTTTTCCGTGAACACATTTCCCTATTATCTTTTTCCCTCACATACATCAAATCGCTACAGTAATTTTTCCATGAAAAATCATGAAAAATGCAATCCAAACACAACCTAATATCAAAGCTTCCGTTGGAAAAGCCATGAAACAACGCACTCTCCGCCCACCCAATCACATGCGATGAAATAAAAAGTAATTAAGGAAAAATAGAAAAGAAAAAAGAAAAAGAAAATTACAAGATTCAATTGCTCCTATGTCCCATATAGGTTACATCACTTCTAAAAAGAGAAAATAAACTAATTACAAATGTGAATTGACAAATAGAGAGACTAATGAAACAAAAGTTGACTAACCCCTAGTCTTAGGACCTAATTAAAACTACCTAAAACAAGTTCGGTAGTAAATCCGAAAGATTGTAAAATTTGGGGTGAAATCACAAGCGTGTCATCTTCTCCATTGAGACATTTTGTCCCTGCTGCTGCGTAACCTAGAAATCATCATCTCCGGCGAGCATTGGACTCGCCGGAGCTTCGCCCTCTCTCTCCCACGCACGAACACACAATACGCACACCAAATTCCATTGAACAACCAAAAATAGAACAAAAGGAAAATGTAAAAGAAAATCCAAACAAAAAATCTCTGGGTCTTTGATGGCTTTCTGGCGAACTCACGGGCTCCGATCAGTCCCGTTGGACTGATCGGAGCTGCTCCCCACGCGCACGGATACAAGAGATTTGTCCCTTTACTTCAAGTACTCGTTGAGGCATTTCTTCAAACAGTAGATGGGCATACGAAAATTCTAAAGATCTCTTACACTTTCCCCGAGAGAAAGACCCAAAAATTGTAATCAAAATACGATTTCAGTCCAACACAAGCCAAAGTGTATAATCAGCCATGCAAATTGCAAATAACTCTAGATTAAAAAAAAAATTCAAGAAGAAACTAGCAAAAGATGGTTTCAGAAATATCAAATTAAAATTAAAGTTGGAAAGGAAAGAATAGCTCACAGGGCGTTTTAAATGAAGGCCTGATAACCGTGGTGGTATGGGCAAACTCCGACGACCCAGCGGTGGCAGCGTCTCCTCCTCTGTTTCCCGTCGGTTTTATTTTTAATTTTTTGGCCGAGAGTAATAGGATAGTGGCCGAGAAAAAGGGGATTCTTTTGTGAAAGATGGAACAGATGATTATGGATTGATGAAAGAAAAAGGAAATCTAGCTCAAGGCGGATGAATTGGGATTAATGGTGATGAATGCAGGTAGCAGTGGTACAAGTCCTCAGTTTTCAAATTGGGATCCTATTTAAGATCTTGTTTTCGTGATGAATAGTAAATCCCCTCGTGTTTATATAAAGGTCAAGAAATCTCCTTAATATTCGAAAACACCCATCGAACCTTCCTATGCTTTGGATTAAATTGAGATTTAGACGAAAAATATTCAAATTAACCACACTCGCTTAATACATGAATATGATTGTCCATCGAAATAGGAAGTCAAAAACATGCATTTTCTCCCCCACCCCTTCCCTCCCTTTTTAACTTTCCTTCTCTTTTCTTTCTCTTCCTTCTCTCTTTTTCTTTTCCCTTTTTTTTCTTTTGTCTTTTTTTTCTTTTTCCTTTCTCCTACTCACGAACCAGAACGTCATTTTTCCTTTTTCTTCTTTTCTCTTTTTAGTCTTAATTTTCACTTCTCCTCCCAATCTAATTCCTACAACAATGGAGATGCTGCCGCCGTCAGCCACTTACCGTCGCTGTCAGCCTCCTGCTGCCGCCGTCCCATCACTTTAGATCAAAACTTCACAAAATCTTCAATTCAAATTCTATTTTTCATGTAGATTTGAATTATGGCATCCAACTTGGCTAAAAATGGCTAGAAAGTAGTTCAACAGGCGTATAATCAAAATAGATATAGTCCTCTATTTCCACGAATCACCACTAAATTTAGT